AATTAACTTTCAATTTATTCAAACATAAGTCTGTTTATTTGGTTATTTTTAATACAGTTGTGGTGATGGCGATAAGGAGCGCGCCTTGCGCTCTCCGATAAGTGTGGCAACCCTAGAGGAGAAGTTTCTTACGAGTAGCGAGCAGAGCGAAACAGGCAGGCTGTCGGGGAGTATGCGCGATGTTCCTAAATAAAGCTTAATTTTTATTGTGCACTATGTCTTGTTAATATTATATTAATGCAGTAAGAACATAATCTGTGATATGGAATTTGAGGATTGGTGGTAAAAACATAACAGGAAATTTCCATAATGGTAACCCGGACTGTGTTAAATCGTATGAACAGTTCTCAAGCACTTTCGGTTTTGACTACAAGCCATCATCACTCAAGATCTCCAAACCAGAAGTAATGGATTACATCGGTTTTTCGTCCTCCGGATCACAGATGAGTAGTAATTATAGATCATTTTATAATTCTGTTTTCTACTTATCATTTAATTTCATTTTCTTTAGTTAAATTTTTGCTTTTATTTTGGCTTAAAAACCTTGCACAATGTCTGATGTTCATGCCGTCCAAATTCCGGTTTATAACCGATCAGACCCATCTTTATGGTTTATTATGTGTGAAAGTACTTTTGCTCTTGCCACCCCCAAACCTATCACAGAATCCATTACTAAATATAATTATGTAGTTTCTCATCTTCTCATCTTCCTCCAGATATCGCATCATCTAGTACGGGATTTACTTATGAAACCAGACCCTATTGATCCATATGCAAAGCTTAAAACTGAGTTAATAAATCATTCAGGAGAATCTTCTCAGCAAGAAATTCGCCAATTATTATCTGGAGAAGAATTAGGTTCTCGAAAACCTTCCGATTTGCTTAGAAATATGAAACGTCGAGCAGAATCTTTAAATGTTCCTGATAACTTAATGTTAGAATTATTCCTTCAACGTTTGCCTTCGACTGTTCAGTCTATTTTGGCAGCGGCGCGGTTTCCAATTTAACTGTAGATAAAGCTGCAGAAATTGCCGACAGAATTTTAGAAGTAAATCCAACCCCAGGGACTTGTGCCGTTTCTCGCACAGTCGATCAGTCTCTTGAGGATAAATTATTTAAACAAATAGAAAAATTAAACAAACGTATTGATCGCATTTCTCTTTCTCGTGGTCGCTCGCCAAATCGCGGAGATCGCAATAAGGAAAGAAGCAATTCCAAAAGGAGAGATTATTCTGTTTGCTGGTATCATAGACGTTTTGGGAAAAAGTGTAGAGATGACAAATGTACAAAACCTTGTTCATGGCAGGGAAACGAAACCAGCAAAGAATAGAGGCGACTTATTCTTTGCCTCAAGTTTCACGTCGCCTGTTCGTTCGTGACCGTAGAACAAACCTTTCATTCTTGGTCGATACCGGCTCTGACGTGTCCTTACTTCCAGCAAATAATTCTCAAAAACGGAATTTGTCCCAACAAACACTTTTCGCTGCTAATTCTTCTACTATTCATGTTTATGGTCAAAAAACACTTTCTTTGGATTTCAAATTAAGACGACAGTTTACATGGACTTTTCTTATAGCAAATGTTAGTACACCCATTCTTGGAGCAGATTTTCTCCATTTCTTTGAATTGGTGCCTGATCTCAGAAACAAATGTCTCAAAGATTTAAAAACGCATTTTAAAACCGTCGGTTGCGTGAAAAATGCAAGCATTTATTCAGTAAAAACTGTATTTAGTGATACACCATATCACAAAATTTTAAAAGAATTTCCTTCAGTTACTAGATTACCAGATCCTAACCAACCTGTTAAACATAACACCGTTCATTATATCATAACTAAAGGTCCACCTGTGGTTGCAAAACCTCGTCGGTTAGCTCCAGATCGCTTAAAAATAGCAAAACTTAGCTTAAAAATAGAATTTCAAACTGTGATGCAATTGGGGCATTTGAGACCTTCGAGCAGCAATTATGCATCCCCACTTCACATGGTTCCAAAAAAGGGAAGTCTGGAATGGAGACCTGTAGGAGATTATCGAGCATTGAACGCTCAAACAATAAAAGACAAATATCCTATTCCATGCTTAGCCGATTTTACTGCTGCATTGCACGGTACTAAAATTTTTAGTCATGTCGACCTGATTAAGGCATACCATCAAATACCAATTAACCCAGCCGACATCCACAAAACCGCCATATGCACACCATTCGGTTTATTCGAAAGTACCCGTATGCAATTCGGCTTATGCAATGCATCCGCGACTTTTCAACGTTTTATAGATGAAGTCACGCGGGATTTAGAAGGTGTTTACGCTTTCGTCGATGACTTGCTCATAGCCTCTAAAGATTCTGAGGAACATTGCAGGCATTTGAAAGCTTTATTTTCCAAACTTCAGGAATATGGACTTTGCATAAATGTTTCAAAATGCACCTTTGGTCAAACATCTATTGATTTCTTAGGTTTTCACCTTAGTGAAAACGGAATTGAACCTCTTCCTGACAAAGTCAAATGTATTTTAGATTTTCCTCAACCTACCACTCTCACTCAGCTTCGCCGATTTTTAGGCATGTTTAACTTTTATAGATGTTTCATACCTAAAGCAGCACATATTCTTTCTCCTTTAATAAAATTGTTAGAAGGCTATATTAATAAAAAGAAATCTCGTTCTCGTGTTCAGGATTCATCCCCACAATTAAATTGGAACGAGAATGCTGAACAAGCCTTTATTGCTGCCAAAAATGCCATTGCTCAGGCTACCCTTTTGAGACACCCTATTCCCGGAGCCCAGCTAAGCATCTGGGTAGATGCCTCAGACGTCGCAATCGGCGGCACACTTATGCAGTTGTCTCAACAAACATGGGAACCTATAGCATTTTTCTCTATGAAACTCAGTAAAAGTCAACAGAAATGGTCCGCGTACGATAGGGAATTATTTTCTATTTATTCTGCAATTAAGAAATTCCGACACATGTTAGAGGGCAGAAATTTTATAATTTATACGGATCAAAAACCGTTAATATACGCTTTTAAACAGAACCCTCATAAATGTTCACCTCGACAATTGCGCCATTTAGATTTTATTTCTCAGTACTCTACTGATATTAGGCATGTGCAAGGTTCAAAAAACGTCGTTGCTGACGCTCTTTCAAGAATCGAAATTGATTCCATAACAAAATCTCCATTTTTGGATTTTAAAAAATTTTCGGAAGCTCAACGGCATGATCCGGAGGTACAAGACCTTCTCAAAAACAACACATCATCTTTGAAACTGGAATTTAAACCGTGCCAATATTCTGATGGTAATATTCTTTGTGACATATCAACAGACATTCCTCGTCCATTTGTTCCGAATTCCTTTCGCAGACTCATCTTTAATCATCTGCATAATCTGTCACATCCAGGAATTGCAGCTACTACGAAGCTTATTTGTTCTCGTTATGTATGGCCCGATATGAAACGTCATATCAAAAATTGGGTGAAATCCTGTGAATCTTGCCAAAAATCGAAAATTACTAGGCATACTAAAGCACCACTGGGCACATTCTCTCTTCCTGATGCACGTTTTTCAGAAATCCATATGGATATCGTCGGACCGTTACCTCCATCAGAAGGCAATGTGTACCTTTTGACTCTAATAGATAGATTCTCCAGATGGCCTGAAGCCATTCCCATCCCGGATATGAAAACGGAAACCATTTGCAGAGCCATCTTCAACTGTTGGATATCTCGTTTTGGCTGCCCATCGATCATAACAACAGACCAAGGTTCTCAAATGAGATCCGCACTTTTTGCAGAATTCACGCGCATTTTGGGTACGAACAGAATCACAACAACAGCCTATCATCCAATGTCCAAACGGCATTGTTGAACGATTTCATCGACATTTAAAATCTTCTCTCAAGGCTCACGAGACCAATAACTGGACTGAAACACTACCAGTTGTTATGCTTGGTATTCGGACAGCCGTAAAGGAAGATCTACAGTCATCTTGTGCTGAACTGGTGTACGGCACAACTCTCAAGCTGCCTAGTGATATGATAACGTCATCTAAGATATCTCCGTATGACACACAATTTATCACGAATCTTAGGCATAGAATGCAACAATTGAATCCAATAGCAACATCTGCACATTGCCAAGAAAAATGTTACGTAAGTGCTACCTTAAAGTCGTGTACGCATGTATACTTACGTGTCGATCGAGTAAAGCCACCTCTGTGCCAACCATACGCAGGTCCGCATAAAGTCCTTTCTAGAACGGACAAAACTTTCACAATTGATGTTAACGGTCTGAAATCTACTGTGTCTATAGACCGTGTGAAACCAGCCTATTTGCTTTCGGACTCTAATTTGCCTGAACTGAAAACAAATAAAGACTTAAAGACAGTTCAGCAGAATAAATCTGCAAACGAACTCTCTAAAACACAAACTGTCACCAGATCGGGAAGACATGTTCACTTCCCTAAGAAACTTGCTTCTTACATAACAATTTAAAACATTTCTTTTAAAATTCATATCTTAACATATTTCTTGTTATTTCATGTTTATTATATGTGTCAATACCTTGTTATATATTGAATTGCATTTTGATCTTTTCTAATTTTATATTCTAATTTTGTAATCATGTAAAAAATACCCGACAGTACGGATCCTCTAAGATAATTTCATAACCTATGTCGTTCCTTTGAATAGTCCATTAAAGGAACTGGGGGGAAACTCTGTGGTGATGGCGATAAGGAGCGCGCCTTGCGCTCTCCGATAAGTGTGGCAACCCTAGAGGAGAAGTTTCTTACGAGTAGCGAGCAGAGCGAAACAGGCAGGCTGTCGGGGAGTATGCGCGATGTTCCTAAATAAAGCTTAATTTTTATTGTGCACTATGTCTTGTTAATATTATATTAATGCAGTAAGAACATAATCTGTGATATGGAATTTGAGGATTGGTGGTAAAAACATAACAGGAAATAACCATACAGTAAACAAAATATAGATATAAATCACAACTCACATTGAGACATTCTAAAGGGAAATCTGCTTTTCTAACATCTTCCACTTTTAAACCTGGCATAATGCATTGGGTTAGAAACAAATCAATAGACAAAATGTTATTTTCTGCATGAACCTGTAAATAAGCATAACATGAAATTAAACTTTTAAGAAAACATACAAATTATTGCAGTTCATATTATGGTGGATTATAACCATGTGAATAATTTTTTAATATTGTAAAGAAATACTACATTGAAATAAAATCCTCCCAGCGAAATTCCAGTGTAAATTATAATTTAGACCTCCTTTACTCTAAAACAGGTCTTGAAAATGCAATATCATTTCTCAAGCAAACTGCATTTTAGGGGCATTTTTAAGCAGAATTTTTCAAACAAAACTTTTTATAACAGATCACTTACAAAACATATTATAATTAATTATTAATATACCACAAAACGCACTATGATACTCATGTAAAGAGGTGGAAATAAATCATAAAACACAAAATAAAAATGCAGTAGCTGCTGTTAAGGTAAATGTTTACTATACTTTTACTATACATGATAGAAAGAACATTATTTACATACTTCTTGCCTACAAGTCATCATATTTCATAGAATATTACAAGAAATACATAAATAGTTTTCGAAAATTAAGGAAAAATCACAAAAATAGCAATAACTCATTCAAAAATAAGCCAATCCATATAAAATTTGAATATGCTGTCAAATAAGAATTGTTGAGTGAAACTGCAGTATCCAAATTAGTGGCACTGCAATCGAAATATGTCATCTGCAAGAAGCATAAAATTGCATGTTTCAGAGCAGGCCTGCAAAATTCACTGTGATACTGAGATAAGAAATCTGGGATAGCCAATTTGTAACAGTGACCTCCAGGCATCCTTTGCCTGAAGAACTTTGATGGAGAGCTGTTAGGAATAAATAAGTTTAAAACAATCTACATTTTTTTCATTTAAATCACATATAGAAATAATACACATCCATAATTATAAAAATATTAATAATTAAGTAAAGGCAAGACAAAGTCAGACAGAAATGGCCAGATGGCTAATTGTGAGTCTTTCTGTGGTTCATAGGTTTTAGCAACAATTTCTAACCACAGATTTGGCATCCAAGAGGTTCAGTCAAAGACAGTTAACTGCTGCGACAAGCTCTGATGATCGATATTTGTTATTATGCGCACGAAGGATTAGAACCTCAGCTCCAACTCAACTCGGATCTCCCTTGCTGTCACCAATGGAAAATTGATGTCAACCGTATGTAGAAGGCTTCATGAAGAAAAGCTGTATGTGAGGTGACCAACAATTTGTGGGCCACTCATGTCACATCAAAGAAGAGAACGTTTGAGTTGGGCACATCAACATGTTCACTGGACAGTTGATCAATGGAGGGCTGTTCTCTTTAGCGATGAGTCCAGGTTTATCCTCCACGGCGATAGTAGGTGTTATTTGATTTGGAGAGGACATGGAACCGTTATCATCCCTCAAAATATTTGTGAAAGACATGCATATGGAGGAGGCAATGTCTGTGCCTGAAGTAATACCTCTTTGGGTGGACATACAGAACTCCACATTGTTTCATATGGAACCGAGAATGCTCAGGACTATAGAAATGACATCCTTGATGCTTACGTGTGCCCTTATGCTGGAGCAATAGGTGATAATTTCCTGCTACAGGATGATAACACTTGTATGTGATAACACAGGGCTTGCATAATGGATGATTATCTTCAGCAGCAAACAATTCAGTGCATGTAATGGCCAACTTGATCACCAGACATAAATCCCATCGAGCATGTTTGGAATGCTTTAGGAAGACATATAGCTGCTCTGAGTTCTCCTCTTCAGATCCTTGCCATGCTTGCAACTGCTTTGCTCTCACTTTCTACGGAAATGATAGACTGCATAATTGACAGCATTGCACATTGCTATATGTATTGTATTGTTTCTAGGGAAGATTTTACTTCATATTGAAGGTAATTTTCCTACACCAAAGTGACACATCCTATTTTTTTATTTTATATATATGCTAATTTCTATAACACTATAATTGTCTGGTAATTTCTTTTATGTTATTTTATACCTTACTATGTGTTGCATACTGTGGGTCAGTTTCAATAAATTATACATGTAACTTTTTGAGTAATCATTATCTTTGTGATTTTTCCTTAATTAATGGTAACTGTGTATTATGTATGGCATGCAGCAAAACATTTAATAGGGCACAAAAAGGAACCGGTACAGCAAAGCTAGTAGCAAATCAGTTACTTGCTACTACTGGCAAGTGAATCTTCAAAAAACTATAGTCAGATGTTTGCATCAAGGAGGATTATGCGCCTGTTGTCACATTGTGTGCATTCCATTACCTAGACATTATTGTTATGCCTGTTTGCAATGGTGTCATCAGCATTGGAATTGGAGGGAAGATGACTGGGCTTGTGTACTATTCTCAGATGAGAGTACGTTCAATCTGTCATTGGATTGTAAATGTCAGTTAATCTGATGCGAGAATGGTTTTGCATATAGTCTGGCAAACATACTGGAAAGGGACCGATATCTTACAAGCAATATCATAGTATGGGCTGGGATCATGATCAATGGCCGTATGTCACTTCCATGTGCTTCCAACTGGGACTATGACCTGGCCAACATTACATTAATGATATTCTGCTGCCTCACATTTACATGTTTCTGGGTCCTGTCAATTTTAAATTTGTTTGCATGGATGACAACACAACATTACATTGAACAGTTGCCATCCAGGAGTACCTAGAGACGAGGATATTCAATGCCTTGTATGGCCAGTATGTTCTCTAGGTCTGAATCCCACTGAAAATGTTTGAGATGCTTTGGAAAGGAATCTTGCTGGTTGACAATACCTTCTAATAAACAAAGACACCTCATCCGTGTACTAAAAGAGGAATGAAATAAATTGCAACAGCTGCTGGATAATGTTGTGCAAAGCATGATATGACATCTGGAATCTTGCATCGCCTTTCATGATGGTCATAACCCGTATTGACATATTACATCAGCATGCCTTAGGATAGTAATTCCATATTTTTCACTTTTATGTACTCAGCACAAAATGACCATTTTAAGGCCTCGAACACTTTTCAAAGCCTTCTGGATTTCAGAGCACAACAAATTATCTTTGTTATTATGTTCTAGTATTCTGGCAATTTTATTTCATTTGGCATCCAACCACACTTATTTTTTTATGCACAATATAGCCATTTGTGATCCATCCTTAGCAGCTGCCCACCAGTGTATATATAAAAACATTAGGTGTATATTTGCCTCACATTTACATGTTTCTGGGTCCTGTCAATTTTAAATTTGTTTGCATGGATGACAACACAACATTACATTGAACAGTTGCCATCCAGGAGTACCTAGAGACGAGGATATTCAATGCCTTGTATGGCCAGTACGTTCTCTAGGTCTGAATCCCACTGAAAATGTTTGAGATGCTTTGGAAAGGAATCTTGCTGGTTGACAATACCTTCTAATAAACAAAGATACCTCATCCGTGTACTAAAAGAGGAATGAAATAAATTGCAACAGCTGCTGGATAATGTTGTGCAAAGCATGATATGACATCTGGAATCTTGCATCGCCTTTCATGATGGTCATAACCCGTATTGACATATTACATCAGCATGCCTGTGGATAGTAATTGCATAGTTTTCACTTTTATGTATTCAGCACAAAATGACCATTTTAAGGCCTCGAACACTTTTCAAAGCCTTCTGGATTTCGAGCATAACAAATTATCTTTGTTATTATGTCCTAGTATTCTGCCAATTTTATTTCATTTGGCATCCAACCACACTTATTTTTTTATGCACAATATAGCCATTTGTGATCCATCCTTAGCAGCTGCCCACCAGTGTATATATAAAAACATTAGGTCTATATTTGCTTCAAAACTTATATTTTCTTGCCAAATGAAGAAAAAAAATTAAAATGCTTTTTTATTATGATAATAACAATTATTCCTTCAAACACAGCAAAAATAAAAATAACAAATGACCTAAAAATCACTACAAAATTAATTTTATTAGCTTTTAGCATGCTATATGAAGCATTTGATCTTTTAAACAATATGATTTTTATTCAATTTAATTACTGAATTTATTTATTTGTTTTCAATTTAAAACTTAAACTATTTATTATGGTTTAATACGCATTCACATGGGGGGAGAGAAGAAAAAAGGAAGCAGAGAAGGGGGAAAAAGGGAATACATTTCTATAGAAAATTTGCACAAGAAATGGCATTACATACACATAAAACCATAATTTTAAAATTTATGAACAAAAAAAGAAAGAAAAAAAGATATAGTAGTAGCAATAAATGAACAATGGGTACATGAAAGTTTCATTTATAAACTATGTTTCTACCTGCTATAAAATGCAAATAAGGAAAAGTAAAATAACATACTTTTATTAAATTTTCAGTTAATATCATCAAATCCTTCCACTCATCTAGTTTTAGTTGTGCTTTTAAATAGTATTGTGCCAATACTTCTATTAGAGGTGGTATATCTTCATCAGAACTTTGGTACTTGCAAAGACTGGGCACATACTTTAGTGTCTATAATAAAATTTGTAAAAAAAATGTAGTTTACTTTAGATATAATATAAGAGAACAGGGAATAATAATTGAATACAGAAATATAATTTAACTGCAGCTGCTGTTATATACTATCATGCTTACACACATATATAGAGGTTTCTCTAACTAAGCAGTAATTTTACATATGAACACTGAAGACAGAAAATGCGATTTCATGCTTTAATGCCATATATATACATAAGATTTAAAACTGTCGATAAATAAATAAAATAGATAAATGAGAAAATATACATATACTTAATAAATAAAACTCTACTTTTCTGAGCTTACAGCCTGCCAATCTGCAACACCTACTTTTTCCCCCCGTTTAGCTTTATAATTATGCATAATTTTCTTCGCACTTACGCCACATACAATTCAACCATAAAATTACAAAAATTTTAAAAGCAGCATTGCAGTATATGTTTAGAATTCCTGATGCAGCATTATCTGTTTGCATTTGCATACATTAACATTTTTCTTTTTCTTCTTTTTTTTTCAAGTCTTTTCTCAGTTCATCATATCAATGTTCAGTTTTCTAACTAAGATGGCTTTATAAAACCTTTTTTTTTAAATTATTAACATTTTGTGTGCTGACTTTATTTATGAAATATGACATTCTTGGTGCTTTAATGCTATATCAAAGTCAATTCAATAGCAAAATCACAAAACAGTTAAAAACAGCATGTCTCTAGAATCTCCAATAGTTCATCTCACATGCCGGAGATTTTCCTTTCCCCCCTCTCCATCTTTTTTATTTCTGCAGATTTGTTCTTCAGTATTGCTGTTTTTTTTTTGAAGGGGGGGTAGTGGATTGGTTGTTGGTTCTTTTTTGTTTGCTTGTGGGTTTCTGTGTTAAATGCAGATGGCTGTTTTGGTGACTATTGCTGTAAATGCAGATGGCTGATTTTACAGCAACAGTCCCCCCCCCAAAAAAATCGACAAAACTGAGTACCAGGGACCAGTTTCCTAGCTTCAGGATACATGATATTTTTTTTTTTTTTTTTTTTTTTTTTGTGTGTGTGTGTGTGTTTTGGTCTCTACCCCCTTTTTTTTTTCTTTTTTTTTTTTTTTTTTTAAAGACAGGAGTGGAAAAAAACTGTGCTTCCCTTTGCAGCTTATACAAAATGATGCAAGTATCAATGTTATGACCATCCATATAGCAGCCCATGCAGGGCTGCCATGACAAGACATCTTTGTGTGTCCAAAGTGCTGGCACTGGAATCATCACATGGGGTTAGGGATGCATGGTCTTACAGGGCAATGAAGATACCCAACCTTTACACTTTTGGGAGATCAAGCAAGCTGAAAGTCAGGATCCTGTGTTTTACACTGATGAACAGCTAGGGTGGGGCAAAGAGGGACATCTGTCCCCGGGCACAGCATCCAGGGGGCGCCAAATTGATGGTACATAATTTTAGAATGAAGTGTTTTCCATTCATGGCATACAGAAAGGGGTGTAAAATCTTCAGTTGTCCCCGGGCACTGAAAACACTAGCTACGCCTCTGTTGATGAATTAACCTTCTTTACGAATGTTGATATCTTAACAGCATAGACTTTCTGATCTAACAACTCAGAAGCAAATTCCTCCTCTGTAATGAAAAAGAGACAGAACTCCAAGATCACTTCACAGCAAAATTAAGAGTTTTGTATATTCAGAGATTTACATTGACATGTTAAGTTTTCTTAATCTGAGATGGGTTACAGACTGAGAGAATTGGTTTCAATTAGCAGATTGCCCCGATGCAGTTATTTGATGTTCTTTGATACGCTTGCATTATTTGACTGCATGTTTTTCTATAAGGAATGGTGACAGTTTCTGAAACTCATCTGTTGTGTTGCTGATACCTAGGAAACGAAGTAAGATCTATTTCGATTCCCACCAACATTTACTCGTGTTTTTATCTTTTTAGGATTCATTGTGCTTTTTGAAATGCAAGGTTCATTTAGACTACCCATTTCTGAGAGAATAAAAGTCTCAGATCTAGTGGCTCCAATCCATCATGGAGCCCAATAAGGAAACGTAGATTCCTGTTACAGGGCTAACCAATCCTATATGTTCACTGAAGCTTACATTCTGCTTTCCAAAAAGCAAGACCTCGTGACTCTTTATTCTAAAGCTACCGATATTAAGCCAATTTACACTATCAGGATCTACTAAGTGCCTCCCATTTCAATCTGAAGCAGAAACGAAAGTACTGTGTTGGGGCCAGGATCTTTTGCCTTAACTAACAGGACTCTCTTTTTCAGCAATATAGTTCTTCCCACATTGCAAACAAACACAGGCAGTTTTTCTCCATATCAAGTTAAAAACAGAAGAGACATAACAGCATCTCAGTTTAAACCCCAGCCTCAGAAAAGGAAATGACACGGATAAAGAATAAGCATAGTAGCAAAGGTAAGGAAAAAAGGAAAGGACGGCATATCCCTGGGCCCATGAGGTCATGACGCCTGTGCTCACCAAAAAGGATTCACTAAGGACTTAATATTTGAAAAACTGGAATTTTGAATAAAACAAAATGACTTTATATTATACAAAAAGAAATGAAAACTTACCTGAATTACGGCATTGTCTTTAGAGGCTTTCAGAACAGCTTGTTCAATAACATTCTCTAGGACTACTTTTGGTGACTGAATAAATAAAGGAAGAAGAAAACTTGCAGCCTTGAAAAGAAAAAAAAAAAAAAAAAAAAAATTCATAATTATGAAGTATGAACCACCATGTGATTATACTGATCCAATTAAAGTAATGGCAAACAAACTCTTTACTTAAAATTACTTTATTCTCCTTAACAGGAACAAATGATGGTATATTGGTTTTCATATACATAATCAAAAAGAAAAAGTATATGATTGCCTCTTTACAGCTCTTGAAACATCTTTTAATAACATCACCTTTACGGTTTATGATGCCAAAAAGGATATATAAAGAGATAAATGCTTAGCTTTAAAATGATTGCCCATAATTAAAGTTCAATGATTTTGGCAAAGCATGCGAGGGCCAAGCACATGAACTTTGTGTTTGCTAGATTTGACTGTATGTATAAATATTATGCAAAATATCTAAATATATTAACATAGATTAGAATAACTTGTTTGGTATTCTAATAAATTAACCTAATCTAAAATCTATTTAACATCTCATTAGCAGCATTCAAGCTACATCAAACAAATCAAAAGCAAATTCCAAAATTCATACTGTTGCCACTGAGCGTTCTCTAACTCAGTGTGCTTCTATCAATTTTGCATTGTGATTTAGAGGCACAGAAAAGTGTCTATTTAATCTGGAATATCCTGACACACAGTGCAGCCCAGTTGTCCAGCATCATATGCAAATGGGAGTGGACTGATACTGAAGATGGTTCAACGAAAGATTCCATCTGATGTTCTGATGTTCACAATTCTTACTAATCCATCCAGACCAGGAAAGATCTTCTCAGTGCAAGCTAGCATCAACTTCATGACAATTTTGTTTTTATCCTTCAGCAAAATTAGTTATCCTACTCTGAGGTTGGGTTTTGGTTGATTCCATTTTGAACAAGTCTGCAAATGGTTGAGATATTCCACACTCCAATGGTTCCAGATATTAGCTCTAAGTTTCTGAATTAAGGTTTACCTAGAAAAAAGGACAAAGAATTTATAGCATCATTGGTTCTGGTATGCACAAAAGTGGAGCTCCTATTAAGAAATGACTTTGAGTCAAAGGCTGATGATCCGTTAGATCAGCAGAAATTGGTGATACAGGTCAAGAGTTCAAGGAAGCTTCTATTTGTGTAATCAATGAATAAAGCTCTTCAAAATTAAAATTGCTGTTTTCGTTACCTTTATCAAAATTCTCTAAATTGATTTTATATTAGCCTGCCACAATCTGCCAAAATGTAGGAAAGAGCAGGAATAAAATTCTACGTTATGCCTTCTTCGGAACTAAAGTGCTGAACAGGATCTGATCTACAAATTCTAAGGAGGTTATCAAGAAAATTTTTCATTCCTTTAAAGTTTATAGCATTGTCACTCCAAACAATGGAGGGTTTGGACCCATCTGGCAATAAATCTTCAAAGACATCCTAGAAATGCTTCAATAGACAAATAAATCCAATACTATTTATAAATGAATAGCTATTGTACTAAAGCAAATAAATTTTGTGATATATGACTTTAAAGTAATTCCAGATCTTTTCAAATTAGGTTTGGTGATAATTGGTCCTGCAAAGTCTAGTCATATTTTTTCAACTTGTCTACATATTACTACTCTATCTTTATGTAAATCTCCTCTCATTTGTTTTATAGTTTGGTTTCTTGTCCAAAAGCATGCCATGCATTCATTTATAACATGTCTAACTTTATCTACTCCAGAAGGTGTTCAGTACAATTGTCAAATAAGAGAAATGTCTGTTTGAATGCCTGAATGAAGAGATTATTTTGTGATATAATCTATGAGTATTTCAGTGAAATGGTGTCTTTTAAGTAGAAGAAGCTGGTGTTTCAGAACTTCTGAATGATTGAAGAGACTTAATCTCCCACCAACTCATAAAATTCCACCTCTGTCAAGAAATACATTTAAAAATGAAACCTTATAAATATTTAGTATTGGTTGTTTTAGCAGCAGGTACCTATTTTCAGGTTGAAACTCGGAATGCTGTACACATTTGACTGGCACCTTTGTTGCATTCTGCAGTTCAGAAGCATTTAATTTTCTTTTCTTAAGGGTGGATTCTACTGTTGTTCACAAACCTAAAACATCACACAGTAATTCTAATTAACTTACTATATGATGAATACTTTTTGATGAATCCATTCTCAATGGAACTTTCACCTGTGACTGCTGAGTTCACTACAAGTTCAAGTTTTTCATTATCTTTGAATACTTTTACTGATTCTGCGAATTCAAGCCATGAATCAATACTCTGTGATAACCATTTAGGTCCACGCCAGCACTTATCACATATTTATTTAACAGTTCAGCTAACTCCTTTCATGGATTTTGTCTTTGTTCTTCTGGTCAGATTTTCATCTTCAGGACAGTAATTCCAGGACTCAGGTGATGTTTTCGCTTGCATTTCCATTACTCGACGTTTGATGAATGTCTTCCATTTATTCAAATTGCCCTTTATCTAATGTATCATCGCAGAAGAATCTGTGCAAAAGTGTCCATTCATTTGGAGCCTCTTCTCTATCTGTTCTTGACATATGAGGCTAATCTTGCTCTGATAAGTGCTTCCATCAGCTCTAGTCTTGCAAGAGACAACTTCTTCAGTGGAGCTATTCTGGTTTTGAAATTTACAAAACTATTTCCTATTTCAATGTCCTCTGTAATGTATCACAGATAAATCATAGCTCCATATGCCTTCTAACTTGCATTGGTGAAGCAATCCATTTGAATACCTCTCAATTCACATTTACTAGTCTTTCAGAAGTAATGTTTCAAAATGTTTATATTCTGAATCATTGATAGCTCAGTAGACCATTTTTTTTTTCATTCTGTTTTCAAAGTCTGACGGCAACAGATCATCCTATTCTATACCAATTGCTAAATTTCCTGCATTAGTATTTTTAACTTAATAGTTAATTGACTTACAAATCTAATAGGATCATGAAAATTTCCAAGGGTTTTAAGAACTTCTATCTTAGTGATTAGCTTTTCCGTTTCTTGAGCTTCAAAAGTTAAGATTTTGAGATTCTATCTTCAAAAGATCTTCTTTGTACTTTCACTTATATCCTAATACTTTCTCTGTTCCAGAACTGTGGATTTCGCCATTTTTATGTTTGTCAAAAACTTCGTGCAAATTCATACAATTTTTCTGCCCTTTTCGCATGTTGAAACTGGCAGCTCTCAATATATTTTTTATATCTTTATATATAAGTTTAGTTTTTGTCTTCATCACCATCTATAAAGTTGTCTATATGTAAACATTTGTTCCATAGTTTAACTGCTTTCTGATTTATTTCTTTAAAAGCATGTTTTGTTTTGATTTTGATTGATTGGCAAGCAAAAATGGTCTAAATGTAGAGCTAAACAAAACACAAGTCATCCTAAGCATTTTCATATGGGGTTTTCCATCTTTTCTTGTAAGGTTATTTGTGCATAAAAAATCTCGCAGCATCCCTATCTTCAGGTAGCAGGGAAATTTGGAGAAAGGCTTGTTCAACGTCAGCAGTAAATGCTATGTTATGTGTACGAAATTGCATTAATATCTAACAATGGTGGAGTAAAATTAGTACAGAAATAATAATTTAAAGAATATTCATTTTTCAAATAAATAGTTTGCATGCATCAGATACAATTCTTAAGGGTATGTCAGATTGAATAACTAGCTGGTGAGGCATGTAATAAATTCTCCCTAGTTGTACAGAGATTTCAATTTATTTCCTCGGCTATACCTATTTTTAAATGCTGTTCTATAACTGAGTGACACAGCTGATGAAGCAGTGTATAATTTCTCAACCTTTTAACCAGTTTATTAAGGAAAAGTCAGCATTTACACAATTCGTTTTTAAATCATATGAATTTTCATTCCAAGGGAATTTAACCTCATACTGCATTTACTTAAATTTGACAGTTCTGTTAAAATTTTTCAAAATATCGTTATCTATCTTACTATTTTCCTTCCTTTATTCAATTCCCAGCACTTCTAATTCCCAAAACTGCTTTAACTGAGTTGAAATCGATTTACTGTCAACAATAATGTCCATTTTTAACACTTTGATGCGCGCGATATTATTTTTATAATTTTTTTAACTAAAAACTCTAGAAATTGAACATTATGATTCTAGAGACAAATGATATATGAATTTAAAAAAACCTAGTCTTGCCCATTGTTCTGTGGGTGGTGGTCGCACTGTGAAACCACCACGCGTCTAGGACTTTGAAACTTACTGATGTAGTAGGGAAAAAAAAACTTACCATTTTCCGTGTGCATTTCCAATAAAAGACGAAATTTATGGATTTAAAAAAAAAATTATGTAATAATTGCATTATATATAATTTTTTTACATTATTTTACAAAGCAAATCATCAGAAAAAATTAAAAAATAAACATTTATGTAATTTTTCTTAAGTAGTGAAAATATAAGTACCTAGATAATAGGGACATTTGGATAAATGGATTCAAAAACTCAATAAAATAAGGATAAAAAAGAACTCAGTGTTTTTTTTTTTCCCCCCCCTCCAAAGAACAATTTTTTTTTTTTTTTTTTTTTTTTTTTTTTTGTGACACTGTTCAAAGCATGTTTTGTCTTTTTGGCACATGCATAGACCCACACTGCACATTTCGCACATACATCTTGTTCTGTGAGGTTTCTTCCTTGTGCTACAAAATGTACACTGCCTGGATTTAAATTTCACTGGTATATGTCCAGCGTTATTTAGTTTCTTTTCATCTTGCTCATGAAATTTGTGGTTTTTTATGTTAATGGGGGGGGGGTCTTTTTGGCTTTGTACGGATCGTTCGTTTCCCATTCATACTTATTTTATTCGTATTTCGTCCCAAAATATTCAGAAAATATTTTTAATTTAAATAAAACTTTTACGCAATCTCTATTTTTAATTATAGCAAAGTATATTTACATTAAATTTAAACCACAGGAAATATTTTTATAAAATCACAATACTAGCTTGGGGAGCAAGTGTGTTGATGTCAGAGAAAGGCATTTGGAAAAGAAAGACCTTTTCACTGGGCAGGTGCATGTATTGTTTAGTAATAAAATAACTCTGTGGTTTCAAAGCCCTTTATCTATGCGGATAAAAATAAACATTCCTATTTGAAAAGCAAGCGAACACCATTGAGAAGCAAATGCCAGTGGTTTCAAGGCGCGACCACCGAGCCTCTAGAGGATTGTAAGCATTGTGACACAATGCTCTAGTGGTGCAGTGGTCATGCCCTGAAACCACATAGAAAATGCCATACATATAGAGGGTTTTTTTTATATATGCAGTTTAATTACTGCAATTTTTTATTGCTTATGATAGAAATCATGATGTGCGATGACTAACTTTTGAAATTTAAAGTTGTTTATATTAATAAAAGGAGGTTATTTTGTCTCATCGAAAACGAATTTTCAAAGGCATCCGATCTGAAGTATTAATACTTAAAACATATATGATTCTACAGTCATTTTGTGTTATTTAGACGTAAAAGATCAGTAATCAATTCATTTTCATTCAAAAATTTCGGAAAAAAGAGGAGGAAAAAAATTTGGAAAATGGTGGTTTCAGGATGCGACCACCGCGCGTCAAAGGGTTAATAGTTCATCATTAGAATCAGTCTGGCCTTGAATGTACCATCCAAATATTGTTTCTGTAGCTATAAGTTTCTTTTTAAAATGTTTAAGTCTACTTGTTATTACTTAATGTTAGTAATTTGCACCGGTCAGAACAGCAGTATTTTTAGCACTGTATTCACAAGAATCAACTAACTGTTATCCTATTAATTCTTTGCTTGAAATTGAGATATCAGGAAAAGTAAATTAGTTGTGCATATTTGGTTAGTTTCTAAAGCTTATATTTCTATATTTAGGGATGGTTCATTTCTGTTTTTGATTTTGACTTTCCCAACATTATACGTTTGTTCTGCTGCAGCATAAGTCTCCTTTTCAAATAACAGGTAATTTACACTTTTCTGATACGTTCTGAATTATAAAATTTTCCATCCAAACATTGTCAAATAGATTATGAACTGGTTCTTAATTATCCTTATCAGAGAAAGGATGTATCATTACAGTGCATGTTTGCAGCAATGTGCTGCAGAAAGTTTTGGTTTTTAATTAACTAACCTGAACATAATTTTTACAGAGTGAAATTGCTGGCATGACCTTAATTTTATCTGATTTTGTTTCAAGTTGTAAATAAATAATCTACTGTGCTTTTAATTACATAGTTAACACATTTTTCTTTTTTTACATTCCTTTATTCTGTGCTGAGGTTTAAGGCAGAAAACAAGAAGTTTGATTTTTAAAAGTATTCTTTTCTCATCCGCAGTTTTAATTTCACAAGACTCAGAATCATGTAGTTAGTGACTGAAGCAATATATTCATAAGTTTTAGGTGAATTTTTGTCAAACTGTTTACTGTGTTTACATTATTGTAAACGAAGAGAAGACATTTGTTTGATTTATGCTTCTAGTTATGAATCATTTCCGCTCTGTGTCATGTTTTTGCTTCTTCACTGTCATTCAACTGCATAGCTCTTTCACACCTTTCGATTTCTTTATCAGCAAATGCCATTAATTCTTTAACATTCCATATTTGGAAACTGTTTCTACTGCGACTATATTCTAAAGTAATCATTGATGGAATTACTTTTTACTGGACAAACTAAGCTACAGTGAGTTTCTGGTATCAAGTTCATTGACTTTAAGCATCTAATTTGAGTTTCACACTCACCATATAGTTTCCCAAGATTTTCTACATCCCTTTAATTTCTAACAAGGAAAAGACTTAACAGCTTACACATGTGAGCATTTATTACTAAATCTTTTCTCCCAAACCTGTTTGTTAACAATTCTATAGCTGAATCGTAATTCTCATTTGTAAGTGAAAGTCTGGAAATGGCATTATAGGCAACACCACCTAATAGTGACTTAAAGTAATTAAATTTATTTACTTTTGATAACAAGTCATTGCTATGGATAGCTGCATCATATTGACTCTAAAATTCCTGCTAACTGCTTGAATCACCAGAATATTTATTTATACTCAATTTAGGTAATTTTATACTTGAACTTTGATTCTATACTTCGATTTGAAAGAATATTGGAACTGGGCACATTTACCCTTAAATTAGAATTATAATCTTTCCTACTTTCTGTTACTTCTTCTATTTTAAAATTAGATTACACTTATATTCTAACAGATTATCATGATACTCTTATGCAGAATTAATTTTCACATCAAAATTCTTTTAATCTGTTTCTTAAAAGAATTATAAGTTAATTTGATATTTTCAATTTTAGTGTTCAACTAATTTAGTAATGCTTTTAAATTACTCACTGGCCTATTTCTTTCAGTGTTCTTATCTATTTTGAATTAAGTATTCTTATCTTATCTTGTAATTAAGCTTTTTTGACTAGGTCTTACTTTTTTCAGCTTTTCCAGTTCCATTGTATAAAGAGAAAATAAATGTTCTTACCTTTTCAGATGTATATTCGACTATTTAATGGAATCCAAATCTTGATACTTGTGATTCTTTCGAAATACTCGTCAAATAAGTTGTCTTCTTAATCCTCTTTCCTATCACACAAGATGTACTGAATTGTACAATAGGTCTATGTGGGGCAGCTACACCAGTTCCAGTTAAATAGAACAAGAAGTGTAAATACTTAACCAAGTAAATAATATCCAAATGCAGCCAGTTTCAGCTCATTTGAAACGAACCAACACAAATCCACACACAAAGTAAGCATCAAATCGAAGAATAAAAAATATAACTTCATGCTAATGTAACCAGAATGTTCAATAAACAATAATGGTGCGGCATACCTAACAAAGTTCTAAAATAAATCTAAATACTGTATATAAATTTCTATGTGTGTGGTTTAGGGATATTTCTATCTAAATCAGCATTCAATCTAGTTTAAACGGGAATTTATTAGAATACCAAACAAATTAATCTAACCTAGAACCTATTTAACATCTCATCAGTAGTATTTGAGCTTCATCAAACAAATTGAAAGAAAGCTCCACACTTAATGTTCTCTGAAGTACTGTGCTTCAACTGATTTTTTACGTTGCCATTCAGAGGCAAAGAAAAGTATGTATTCAAACAAAAACAATAATAAAAGTACTTTTTGTAAAAAGTATTTTACTATTATAAGTTCTGTTTTTCACTAATGTCACTAATAAGCAACTATGTTTTAGACTCCATCCAAAACACTTTTAAAATGCTGGAACACAAAAATTCAGGAATTACATGCATTTGTAAAATGACATATTCTCTGCAAATCATTAAAAAAAAATTATATAGAAAGTAGAAATATCAATTGTTTTTATGTTTTATCATGATGTTTTACCTTAAATGTTAAAATTAAAAAAAAAAAAAAAAAGTAAATGCTGTACCACTTTAACAAGGAAGCACTAAATAAAAAAAAAAATACTTGCTTCATTTGGCTATGCATTTTTACATATTTGCATAAAATTCATCAAAAAGTAAATGGGAAAAATATTCACCTCTTGACAAGAAAGTGTTTTACGTGTAAACTGATCCAACTGAATGCAGAAGTCGGGCAACCTTAGTTTTTCAGTGAATCCATAAGTTTTCAATATATATTGCAATGCTTCATTGTAAATATCAGCTGATGCCTCGGATAACACTTTAAGAAGCAACTGAAATTAAATTTTTTATAAACATGTTTTTATTTCCAGAATACTGAAATTTAAATAAAATGCTTTCAATATCAGCTGGAGTTTCTACTGCTGCAAGAACATATTCTGCCATTCTAGCGAGCAAACATGAACATTATTTTTAGATTCAGCCAAGGAACAATTTTACCACAATCGAAAGGCAATTAAAAGCATTCTGTTAAATGATTTCTACTACTTTTTCAGTATTTAAAACAAGGAAAATTTTAATGTAAGAATATTTAGTATTAAAATAACAGCACACACACACACACACACACACACACCAAAAAAAAAAAAAAAAAAAAAAAAAAAAAAAAAAAAAAAAAAAGCATAAAGATTTCTTGGAAAACATGTTTTGCTATGATTTTTTTTTTAATTAGCTTCATTGTTCTTTTATGGAATTCTCAGTGTGCTGCTATTTTAAAAATACGTATTGTCTTTCACATATTTAACTTGATGAAAAATTAACCGGCAGTTAGTTGGCGACTTTTTGATATGCTGAAACTGTTTAATACACTAATTCATTCTGCAAAATTCTGAAGATATTCTTAAAAAATATTAATAAAATATAGCTATTAAATTTAGTAGTGGTGAGTGATCATGTTTTACTTAAATAAAATTTTATAGTCATTTGCTAGCAAGATATTTAACTTACTACAAATCATTTATCCAATAAATACTGGAAAAAGGATATATTACAAATGATTATGATATATTACAATTTGTTATTAAATATTACAAAACAGTTTTTGATTTTTGCCTCATTATAGACATTTCATTACTGATATTTCATAAACAGCAGTTCCAACAATCTATGAGCATTATCAGCCTCTTTTTAGAAAAAATTTTGAAGTTTAATTTTACTTTAATTGAACATTCATTTTAGTAATTTTTTCCCTTTCTTAACTGGCATATCAGCAGATTATTTTCATAAATTTAAGAATATATTAGCTGTTGGAATTTATTTTTAGCTGAAAAAAATTTTTCCTTCTTTTAATATTGATAAAATTGGTTGGTATTTTCAATTAAAAATTATAACATTAGTTTGTAAGAGATAAAACTAAGAAACTTACTTTCACCACAGAAATTTTAACTGTGTCCGATTTAACATTCATTGCACAATTTATTAACAATGCATATGTTTTTTCAGGATCTAAGCAATATGTGTTCTCTTCTAAAGTAGAAATAACACTGAAATATAAACAACATTTATGAAAAATACACAACTTATATTTGATTTAAATCTTGGAACTTATACAATGAAACTTACAAGTTTTAAATCAGAGTTAAGACAATTTCAGATACCTTAAATACACTCATGCCCATAAATTAAGGATAATTCAGAATCGCACAGAAATCGAACTTTAAAGTAAAAATTTCACCTGTAGAATTATTGCACACATCTTCAAGAATAATATGCAAATTACAGGAAGCCATTGGATGATGCTGATAATATGTTACAGTGACGCGAGTGTAAGAGACAAGGAACGGTAAGCTACAAGGAACGGTAGCAAATAAGTAAAATTGCTCACAAGCATTCTGTAAGCCGCTCAGTGTCACAACCGAATCGTTATGATACAGAGGAGGCAAGCAGATGATTTTTTACATGGTAGAATTATCAGCCATATGGAATGTGGGCAAACTCAGGTGGAAGTATCCGAGGAACTTGGAATAGCCCAAAGTGTCATCTCTCTCTAGGCTTTGGCCATGATTCCAAAATGATGGAAACATTACAGGAATGATGGAAAATGATGGAATGTTACAGTACAGGTTGCCCCCCCCCCCGAGTTACAAAACCAATTGACGACTGGTATCTGTCAGTAACTGCCAAAAGAAGAAGATGGAACACAGCATTAGTCCAGTCTCGTCAACTATCTTCAGCCATGGGTATGACAGTTTCATGGTGAACCGTGTGCAGACGTTTGGGACAGATTGGACTATATGCTCGCAGGCCTGTCAGATGTGTTCTGCTCATGGTAACTTACTGTTGCCAGCAGTTAGCCTGGAGTAGAGAACATGCAATGTGGACATCATCACACTAGGCTTATGTGATGTTTTCCGATTAGTCCAGGTTTAGCTTGCAGTCTGATTCCCGTTGGACTTTCAAATGGAAAACTCCAGGTACCAGCTACCACTGTTAACCAGAGAACAGGGGCTCCATTACCTAGCTGACATGATGTCTGCCTTACACGGATTAAAGCCCCTGCCTCCAGAAGCTATTTATTATGACTAAGCAGAATAAGTTTACAGTGGCATACAAGGCCTTCAAGAACACAAGAACATAAGTAACATAGTCATAAAAGACCCTAAAGAAAGCATGTTACAAGTAGTACCTAAGACAACATCATTGAACGACACCATTAAGATAGTGTAGGATTGCTTGTTTGGAGTGGAATTATTCAAGGCTCTAGAACAGGTCTGCCTATTTAGATCGGAACCATGACAGGCCAGATTTATCGGGACATCATTCTGAAACAACATGTATATTTATTTAGAGCTGTCATGGGTGTAGAATTTCTGTTTATGGATGACAACGCCCCTCCTCACCACATAAAAATCGCAAAGGAATGCCTTCAATCTAAGGATATCACCTGTATGGAATGTCCAGCACTCTCACCTGACTTGAATCCGATAGAACAACTGCAGCCTGTCAAGCACCTCCTACATGTGACTGGAACTTTGGAGAGCATTGCTTGATGAATGGAGTAATTTTCCACAAAATCAACTCAATAATTTGAGTTCTTTATCTTTTGTTTAATAAATGGGCTTCATGAATAAGTCACGTTTGTTTTGTTTCTGAACCTTTATTTGCCGGAACTGGCAATTAAGAAACGAATTAAAACATTCTCTGACAGTAAAAGCATTAAAAATTTTTTTTCAAAAATAATTCTTTGGTATACATATGAATCTAATTTTAACAGGTACCAAAGACAAAATATACTTACTAATGAGCTGTGTGTCATTGTTTTATTTTTATGCAAACCTTAAATCTTAGAAGTATATACTGCAATAAAGCTTAGAAGAATATACTACAAGATGAAGAACTTTTCCAATGCTTTGCAGAGTTCACGAAATTCTTTTTATCTTTACAAATATGTGTATTTAAAATGGCACTTTGCATAAATATGTAGTACAAAATATTAAATTAAGATTAGAAGTATTTCAAAAAGTTTTGGAAAATCCGAGTCAAAAATTCATTTAATAATTTGTTGGAGAACTCAAATTTTAAACATGTGACATTTGATTGAGTATTTAATGATGATGGTAAGTATTAATCACTTCAAATGAGATTCAATTGTTTCAGTTGGTTTATAGATCCAAGTTTCTTTCTCAACATAAAAATTCGAAGGAAATTATTTTTGAGCTTGTACTTTTAGACACTGAAACATTATTTTCAATTAATCTCTAAATATCAATTTTCTTCCCTGTTTGCCTTTTTTTTTAACGAAAGGTTTAATTTTGTATTTTTTAATTATATTAGCAAAATGTTCAATTCAGCATGAACATACTCCATTTATTTCCTTCAAGTGATAAGTGTTATGCTTAAACATTCAGTTTTTCAAAAAATCTGACAAATAATGCATTTTTAAAAGCCATAATTCCTTGTGAACAAAATTAACAAAACTGGATTTCTCCTCCGTTAAAATGTAACAACTTTATTTTTCAACTATGAGAATCCATATGAACTCCATATATCCTCTTGATAGCTATCATACTTTTGAATATAACAAGAAAGTTTAGCAATCAGATTTCAGATCTTTGCAAAGGTTAGAAAATGATCAGCTGTTTTAAATTCACACATACTATACATATGGTGTTGCTAAATGTTTTTGATTGTTGCAAAACTAGAAATTTTGTAAATTTGCTAATATATCTGTTACCACTAAACTTAATTACATGATCCCATATGGAGTTGTCACCCACACATTAAGAAGTACTGAATTAAAAACAGATTCTTACTGACATAATGACTATTTAGCATAACATGACATTTATATGGGATGCCTACCAGACTAAAGAAATGTCTAGTTGAGGGTTTCATCGTCTCTGGCATGAAAATTTTGCTAACCAACATTAGCCTTTTATTTAATATAATTACTTTTCCCTATTTGCTAGAAATGTTATCTCCAAAATAAACCATGCTGAGTGAAATAAAAGTATTAAAAGAACATTACAAGCTTTCATTTTCCTAAAGATTTTTTCTTCATCCTTCATCAGAAAGTGATGAAGTTTTGTGTTTGAAATTTAATAAATAATTTTAGATGCTAAAAAAAAGTTTCCTGCCACTGCAAATATTGTCTGCATAAGCAGTTTGCATTGCTGTGTTTAATCATATTTTGTCAAACAATATTTGGTATTTGAAAGAAAGAGGCTTGCTTTAGAACACAGTGTTGTGAAATTTGAAAAAAAAAAAAAAAAAAGATTTCATTAAGTACAAGGTGTCTGAAACGAAACTATGATGCTAGCAGATTAGAACCATCATTTACTTCCAGTTCTGTTACAAAAGGTCAGCTAGAGAATGTCACCAAATCATGTGTATAGCTTTAGGTACTAATGTTATATCATATGAAGCTGTGAAGGTTTGGTGCCAAATGTTCAAAAACAAGGACTGTGACATTCAAGAAGCAGAGTGCTCTGGCTGGCCTACTAATGTTGATGATGCCCACCTGTTTTGAATTTGAGAATTTGAGGAAGATCAGTATGCAACCACTCGAAAGCTTTCTACAGAATTAGACATTAATGACATGTCTATTAGTCACACTATGCATTGCATAAACTTGACATACAAGTTCAATCGATGGGTGCCGCATGAGCTGACTCAAGCAGATAAGGACAGATTAATCTCAAATATCAACACAAGAACAAACTTCTGGACCACTTCAAACTTCTTGGTCTGCACCCATGAGCCTGTTGGCAGCGTCACAAAGTGCAATTTAACTAACAAAAAGATCATGCTTTTGTATCTGGTGGGATAATCGTGGTATTATTCACAAAGAGTATCTGGGAAAAGGTAAAATCCTAGACAGTAAGGTGTACAGTGAGATGTTTGTCCGTGTTGACACTGCTGTCAAAGAAAATCGAGGTACTGTGTTCTGGTGTAAAAAGGTTATGCTCCATCAAGATAATGGCTGACCGTGGGGTTGAATGGGATCTTTTGGCACACCTAACCATACAGGCCTGACATCGCTCCTTCGGACGTTTTCACACCTGCAGCTACATTTTGCTGGTGCCATCTTCCATTCTGCACAGGACGACCGAAATGTGGTTGATCCGTTTTTGGACTCGCAACCGCCAAGTTTCTGGATCGAAGGCTTTGAAAAACTACCAAAACATTGACAAATACTCATAGATTTGGGTGGGATTACTACCTGCACTAAAGGTACTACTTTCATGTTTTTTTCACCCTAAATTTATTAAGAATGTTTTTTGGTGGAAAACTTTTGTTGCAACCAGATATTATTCAATAACTACTATATTTCATACAGTAAGGTCTCAAAAAGCAGCCCATTGTATTCGTTTAAATAAACATGATGCTTTCTTTTTTTTTTTTTCCCCAGATTGAGAAAATGCCTTTGCAAACAAAAGAGCAAAAAATCAAACAAAAGGAAAAAAAAAATATACCCTGCATAGATTCTTCAACAATAACTCTTGATGAAAGCAAATTGGAAAATACATTCATCAAACTAGAAAAGAAACATGCCAATGTAAATTTAAAATTAGACAAAAAAGTTAGTTCAATGCAGATTTTAAATAAAATTCTCTTGATTTTGAAGGTGGTCAGATACAATTCCCTCTTTGCAGGAGTAAAAAAATAAATAAATAGAAAGCTAGAAATTTGTAAAAATTTAAGGTCAATAGTAGTTCAGCCAATCTTGAAATAAGTTAACACAAACTTAAAAAAAAAAAAAAAAAAAAAAAAAAAAAAAAAAACCTCCCCATGCCCCAAATGTGGCTAAAATATATAATTTTTATCTCTCTTTTTCCTAATTTGGGCAGAGTGATATACGCAGATAAATAGATAAATCGGTTTATCACAGTATTTTACTACAAGCATATTTATTTAGAGTAGAAATTGTTTTTAAACTGGAAATAAACTTCTTTTAATTATTTTAGAAAGTATTAAAGCATTTATTTACTTACTTATCTCCCTCCCAGATTTCAGGATGCATTAAAATTATTTCAGCAGCAACTGGATACAAAAAAGTGTCAATGTTAAAAACAATTGCATTAAATTAACTAAAATATGAAACAAACAGTATTACACTTCTATCAGTTTACAATTTAAAGACAATCTATATTTAAGATGAAGCTGATTTATACAAAATACATAAAAGTAAACTTCAACAACAAGAAATATTATTAAGTTTAATACCACAATTTTTATGTTTCTGCTGAATATGTTTGTTTAATACACATGTAACAGTACTCTCCTAATGACAAACTTCTAATAAAAGTCTCCGACAAAATTTATTTAGATAAAGACATTTGACTGAAAATTCGTTAGTTTCAAGGTACTTGCTATTCACAACATTGTGAAAACAATTTAGGATTATTAAATATAACTATGATTTATAATTTTTTTCCATTTATCCCTATTAAAAAAGCATAATCTAAAATTAAAAACATTAATAAATTGTAACTTACAATCAAAATATCTGGTATCAATTTCTTGAAAATATAGAAATAATTTATTTTCAGATTCTTATTAGCATCTTAAACATTTTAAACATGGTGCTTGATAATTATTGCTTTAAAATCCCTGTTCATTATGCTTCTTAAATTACTATAGTAAAATAAATACCATATATTTCTCAATATAAGTTGATATGTTTATAAGCCTAGAGTGCATTTTTTATTCAAAAAATTTACGCAAAATTCAAACCGAATTTAAAAGAAGGGAAACAAAAAAATCTCTTTCAGTGCTCAAATATGTCACCATGAAGGCGAAAATGACCACATTTGCAGACAATTCTAACAACAGCATGGCTGTTTAACAATTCTCTGTAAATGAAAATCAAATTGAAGAGTGGAGAAAACCGAGTGTAAATTTTGCCAACATCTGATTTTTTTCCGACGATGCAACAAACTACTAGCATTATAAACAATTTGAAAAATAAAACAACTCATTTCACTTAAATTAATTTTTTTTTTCATAAATTTGAGAAACATAAACTGAAGAAATAAAAAAGTGAAATATTTGGTGATTTATCACTTGTAACCGGCTAACCCAAAAGTACCTACATTTTTTTTTTTTTTTTTTTTTTTTTTTTTTTTTGTGAGATTAGTGGATCTATACATAATCCAATCCTTGTAACGTAACTTTAGAAAAAGTTCCAAAAATTATCAGTTTATACACAGAAATATATGGTGGTTAATTTTCAGATTTCAAATCCTTTATTTTGTAACTTCTTTAATTTCACATTGTTTACCTAATAACTGAAATTGTAGTAAGTCTTTATTGGCAATTCTTCTCTAAGGCTAGAAATTTATATCATCACACTGTTTTCAGATATGAATGTGGCAGATTTATAAAGCATTTGTTTTCTTAAAATATGCACGTAAATAAGATTTATAAAATTCTAAAATAAGCAGTATATGTACACTTTATCAACCACCTAGCCATATAAAAATGTATTATTTTAAAGATAAACATAATTAAAAGACAAAGTACAGATTAAACTTACCTGAAGCTGATGGATAATGGTATTTTATAGTGTTTAAAAGCAGTGGCATATGACTATCCATATATTCACTTAGATCTTCCTTAAGAAGAGGATTTAAGCTTATCAAAATTTCAAAAACTGGTGTATGCAAAATTTTCGTTTTTATGTTTGATGTCATGTCTTCAAAATTAGCTAGTTCAGATTGCGAATGAAAAAACTCCTTTAAATCTTTCAAAGAATAAAATGTAAGAAAAGTAAGGTAGCATTCATTGATTCCCCATGATTCCATCATAAAAGTATGAGTCAGCAAGCAGTCTGCATTCACAGAAATGGCAGATTTAAGTATCATTTGAACTGATTCTATCTGAAGAAAATGTTCCAGTAATGTTTGCAGTTTCATAATTTCTTCAGGCACATGGGTTATTTTTTCAAAGATAATCTTTTTGTAAAATTTAAACAGTGTTTTACAAGCATGTAGGAGAATATTTACAAAAGTAATAGTTTCAGTTCCTTGTTCAGGTTTAGAGCACAGATTCTGATATAAACTTTTATAAAGATCCATCAGATCATTATCATAGGAATATGCAAAATTCATATTGTTATGATTTTCTGTATTAATATTAGCACTAGGATCAACACTCATACTATCATCAGCTATATAATTGGTAGTAATACACACAGGGGGTTTTTCAGAACAAATAAATTTATAATGGAATGGATAACATTTTGCAAGTGCTGAACATTTTTCAGATTCACAAAATTTGTGAATGAGTACTTCTAGAATTATATGCCATGTATAATAAAGAAAATTCTCTTCATCCCAAGATATATCAAGTAGCTTCCTGATAAGAACAGCAAGGATATTAGAAGGAAGTTGCTTTGCACACTACGGAAAAAGATAATGTATTTTTATTTAGTAAATAATGACAAATTAACAGCAGTTTGTAATAACCAGTTATAAAATTATGTAATGAAGATAGCTAAATGTACATGCAAAACAACTATTAAAACACTACTTCAGCAGATCATGCAGAAAGAATAACCAAATATGCTTTATATCGGTACTTACCTTTTATCACAACTACCTTATTAAAAGTCATCAAATTTTCAGAATATGCCAAATTCTGGCAACCATGCTGATAACAGTTCTTCAGTCAATCAACATTTTCATTTGCAATATTTTCATTATTTAAAAGTTAAAATAATTTTTGTACATAAATCATAAAATGTTTTGCCTTTCAACTCAATTTTGAAATATGCACTTGTGAAATTTGTCAGGAAAGGAAGTACCCGTAGTACAAGAATAGAGTGTTTTACCACAAAAATCACTGAAGAGAACAGTAATGAGATGCATTGGCTGATAGCAGTGAATAATCCCTAGGTTGATCACAAAACCTATTTATGTGATTTTCAAATGTTTTTTAAGTGAAATTAAATTGCTGTGTACACAATGAGAAGAACAGCAAAGAAAAAATTACAGATTTCATGAAAAATGTAAGCTTTTTATTTTTTAATGTATCATATAATTCTGAGTTAATTTAAATTTGTGTTTTAAATTGCTAAAGTGTGTTTTCTTCTGATATGTTCATAATGTTTGCTGACTTATGATAAAATTGACAGTTTATGAATCTTTTTTTTTAAAAAGTGTGAAAATGGCCAACTTGTATTTGACAAGTAACTTTTACCTTTTCAACCAATAAGAAATCACAAAATAGCACCAAGATGGTTGCCGTAACATGTAAATACCTTTAGCTTAAGGGTCTGAGCTCCAATTTTACCATGCGTATCTGATAATCAAATGTAAATCAAAATCACAAATTGTAAAAAGGAAGACAGCTTAAAAACATTGAAAATAATCAGTTTTATTTACTTGAACAGTAAAATAGGAAAAATGACATTTTGAAGAACACTTGAAGGGAAATGCATGGTGATAAAAATTAAAACTACTATATGTAATGCTTTCTACAAATAGTCAATGTTTGAAATATCATCAGATTTAAAATAATAATTTCACAATATATGAAAAAGTTATGAAATAAAACAGTAATAAAAAAGCAAAAGAAACTATAACGCTGTTAATAAAAGTAAGTAAACAAAAGCTACCACAAAGCTATTAATGACTGCTCATAGTAAATATTAAGTAATTCATACTAAATCTTAATTAGCTTTATTAGTTATCTGATAATCAATGAATAAAAATATGCAAAATTCATTATAATATTACAAGACATTCCCCACTTTATTTAGTTAAAGTTTCAATTCATAAGCTGAAATGGCATAAAGAAAAGAAACCATTCCCATAAACTTACATGGAAGTAATTTTCAATATTCCCCACCTATAAAAAAACCTAATAATTCTTATTAAAATACACATGAAACCGAAAACAAGACTAGAATAACCATATGCAAAACAATTAAATGAAAATAATATGTAACATGTCAATATATCTTTCAAAATTGAAAATATAGTATACATAATGGAATGCAGACTGAATAGTGCCTTAAAACTCTTTATCTGAGGCTTTAAAGCGGCTTTACGATAATATTATAAATGTTTATTATGTAAAAAAATCATACCATAATTATCAACTTAATTTTTAAATCTTTAAAATTCTAAACACATGATACAGATTTATACAGCAGAAGAGTAAATGCTTACACAGTTTAGGACCTGACGCTATGTGAATTGCAAATCATATAAATAAAATTCATGATAAAGTAAAAAAAAAATTAATTTAATTTCTTTCACATTTTTAACAGAAATATGTACTAAATATACCGTATACACTCACGTAATGTCCACACCTTTTTTACTAAAATTACATCAGTAAAATGCAAGTGCGGACATTACATGGGTCGTTCAAATGTCGCACTTTTTCTCATGAGTAATTTTGGGTGTAAATTTCATTTCAAACAGCCAAGTTAAGTTCTAAGTGGAAGAAAATGGCATAAGTGATAAAAGTATCAAATTTAAAGTTGTTTAATTCCTAAAATTCACAAACTCGCTTTCTCCCATCCACATACAGAATATAAATTACCCCATTTACATTATCAACATGTGGTGCATATTAGTTCACACAGGAGCACAATATAGAGGCACATATTAACCAACACTTGCAATTTTAATATTTACTTTTACACAAAATAAATAAATGTTGTTTCTTTTAATATCCTGCACACATTATTAATTTTTTTTAATTCGTTTTGACACACTGTATAAAAATTTTGGTTGTTATGTCTGCGTATGCGAATGTAAAATCTTTCTGCTGCAAACAGCAGCATAAAAATACATAAGATGGCAGTGCAGGCACTGTAGTGGCAGCAACATAGTGGAGAATCAGTGAGCAGTATTTTTTCTAATTTCAAGCTACCGCAAGAAAGAATAATAATAATTAAAAAAAAAAAAAACATTGTGAAACAATACTCAGTATAGGAGTGTAAATAATTTAATCAGTAAACATTTTTTTATCTCACCTTTATTTCGTCCTCGCAAATCATTTCCAATTGCTTCAGTATACACTAATTGCTAGCACAAACACAATGCTTACAATTTAAATATTAAAATTCAAATTCTAAACAGTTTTCAAAAACTTATCACGAACAATTTTTAATACACACCTAGTACCAGTACTTTTTTCCGTTTTCCACGTATTAGTTATCATCATCATCCCTTTCTTCACTCACATCTTCCTCATTTTCTTCATTCACATCATCTTTCTTGCTTCCTCATTCATATTATCCTTCTCAAGAAGATAATCTTCTGTTCCATCCAAAGCATTTGATATACCAGTTACTTTAAAACTTTTCACAATCCCATCACTGGATATGCTTTTTCACGCAGCAATAATCCACGCACATACTTCCGAGATGGATGCTCTTCTCAGACGTCCAGCTGCCGTGGTCCCCCCCCCGGAAGTCATCCAATTATGGTAGCTCTGTTTGAATGCCATTTTAAATTGCTTGTTTAAAGAAACATCAAGTGACTGAAGAATGGAAGTTAGATCTCATGGAAACACAGCAACATCAGTTCTTGAGGTTTCAAGTTTTTGTTTCACTGTGTCTGTGAGATACCCTTTGAAGCTGTCCAACACGATAAGAGAAAGTAGCTGCAACAGAGCTCCAGGTCGTTTATCCCACACAATCTGTAGCCAAGTCCTGAACAAAAGCGTCATCCATCCACCCCTTCTCTTGAACTCGTAATACAATTCCTGGTGGCAGTTTTTCTTTCGGTATTGTATTTCGCTTAAAACGCCCGTATGGCAGAAGTTTTTTGCCATCGGCAAGCGATTTTATTTGACACACTGCCCATATTACTGCGTACCCCTGAGCACACATATCATGCACATATGCAACTACTTTTTTCTAAGTTCGGAAACTTACATTTTGAACCGCGAAACGCAACGTCTTGTTTTGTTCGTTGCTGCCAGTTGATCACACTGTTTGCTCCAATTGTGCATACACTTTTCATCTACATTATATACTCTTGCTGCTGCTCTTTTTTCATTTTCCTCCTCAAATTCTATGACTTTCAGTTTAAAAGCCGCTGTATAGCTGCTGTACTTTCCCATTTCAAGCACGCTACTACCACAAATCTAAATGATACTATGAGTGAAAAGAGAAAGTATAAAATATGCGAATGCTCCAAGTAGGAAGGAGGGGAAAGTAGTTTCATTACAAAACAATATTTCCTGAAAGCCAGTGTGGTGAAAACCTGTTTTCACTGCCTTCATTTATTACTTTGTCTGCTGAGTAGATTGCTGGTGCCACTTATGTTATGGCTGAATAACAGCTCCACCAGAATGCAAGGAAAGTCTCTGCTTTCCATCCTGGTGCCAACCAAAGACAAAACAAATGCATATTCTTTCTTTAAAGATATTTATTGACTAAAGGAAAAAAGGCGATGTTAAAAAAATATATTTTTTAAAGTAATAAATTCTTTAGTTTTTGAGATGGGGACATTGTGCGGGTCACTTTTTTTTACATAAATTTTAACTGTAAGTTGGGATGCGGACATTACACGAGCATATACGGTATGTGAAAACTATTTTTAATGATATCAGAGTGTGTTATATAAAATTATAATGTAATTCTATGCTAAAAGAAAACAGGATTCTAAAAGAACGTAAAAAAATTATTTTTTACATTTTATAAAACACCTGTTTATAGTAAAATTAGTCACAACAACCTTGAGTTTGGCATAGATTTAAGTCAAGATCTCGATTGATTTCAAGGGCAAACAGGTACAGGTCCCTCTTCATTAGAGCAAAGAAATCTGCAAGACTGATTACTTAAAAGGAGGCGTTTAAAAATTAGAAAAGCTAGAGGCAATAAAATAGAATTGGAAAATAAGAAAATATTAAGGCATACAATTTTTAATCACTATTATTCAGATATCCTTGTATACTGTTCTTATTACTACACACCTTACATGCAAAAAAAGCAAAGCTTCCTTTTAAATAAAGTTTTAAGACTAAATTTTAGAAGTATTAAAAAAAAAAAAAAAAAAAAAAAAAAAAAAAAAAAAAAAAAAAAGCAAAAGACCAAAAATCTGCTGCTCAGATGTATGAAGTAAAATTCAAAGTTTAAAAGAATGCAAAATCATAAAATTTTCAGTTTACAAATCTAAATATGTAGCCAATGATATCACAGTAAAGAAAAAATGACAGTGCCAGAACTACTTTCTACTGCTTCCGCTTAAAAGGGATTTATCCTGAAACACTAAAGATGAGTGAGTTAAAACAGATCTTTCCATGACTATGTAATAAAACAGTGTTATTGGAAACAAGAAAGACTTCCTTGATTTGTAGCAAGAACTTGTAGTACTGTGGTAGGAATCGTCACACTGCCAAGTTGTTAAGCTTTAAAGTAACACAAATGCCAGAATTTAAAACTGCAAATTTCAACATAAGATAAAATCAGCATACACGAATACTGTATTGCATCAATGATTTAAACATTAGAAAAATTATAACGCACTTAGTTCAGAATCACTTTTACAGTAAAGGTAAAATAATTATATGCTGATCTAAAGATAGAAGAAACTTGTAAACAAACTCTGATTGGTTATAGAGATTCAAATAATGGCAAGATATACACTTTTAAAGTATGTTATGAAAAACTTTCAGCTGATAAAGTTGGTTGCAGATGAATTTGCAGAACAAATTTGCAGAGTTAATGGATAATGTCAAAACTAGAACAAATATCAAATACAGAAGAAACCTCTTTAAAAAAAAAAAATAAATAAATGGGGGGGAGGAAGATGTTTCTTGAGAAAGATAAATGAGATCAATAAAGAAATACACCATCAAGGATTTAAAAAAAAAAAAAAAAAAGAGAGAGAGAGAGAGAGAATCACAATTCTACTTTGCAGCAATGCAGGTGAGCCCTCTGTACAGAAATTCAAAGATGTACAAGAATATCTTCGTATTTATAGGTTTGGAAAGATATCAGTCTTTGCCTGTGATTTATGAACATACTGGACTGTCACAGAATAAAAATAGAATAGAAATGAAATTTATCAACTGATTGGTTTATAAACCATTTTATAAACAAGTCAAATCTTAATCATTTTATAAATAAGTAAAGTATTAGAAATGAATTAGCTGCAGATTATAAGCTTTCATTGCTATTGAAAAACTATATGGCTTATCCAGATGCAAACATTTTGTCTCCCAATAACACCACGACCAACTTTTTGATCTCCAATAAAATATTTTAAATTTAATTTATAATTAATACAGGATTTCAAATGTATTCTTTTGAATCACAATAAGCTGAATTTTTAAGGATAATTCTACATATTCATTCATTCTTCAAATTTTTCAGCTACAAAATGTATTTCCCAATTGAGGATTTCCAAGCCCTCCTCACTGAATGGATATCATAATTTAAGGACTTATCCACTTTATATAAAAAAAGTGTGATACTAGTGAATTTTCTCAGTTTAGTGGGAATTCAACAAAGGCTAAATGTGTTGCTTCTTAGATACAAAAAAAAAAAAAAAAAAAAAAAAAGTACAAGTGTTTCAAAAAGACAGCACTGTGAATTAGCTGATAAATGATAAATTTGGATGGACTAAAAAAGATGATCAAATAGCTATAGAAGAAATCATTGAAACTGTTTTTAAATCCAACAAAAGAAGATTCTGATTCTAAAGGTTAGCTTAATCATGATTTCGCTTTATGAAAAAAAATTTTAGAACAAAACTATAAACTAATTAAAATGAAGGATTAAGTATAATTAAGGGAGGAGGGACCACCTAAAGTTATAAAACCAACAACTATAAAAAATTATTTGAAAGTATTTTAAAAAAATGAATCTTTTTTAGTAACTTATCTTTATTTTCTTTTTATATGTTTTTATCTCCATTTTTTATCCTTTTCCCGTATATTTTCAAACATTTTGTATTAATGTATAAATATGTGAAAAAAATTTTTTCCTGCTTAAAAATGCTTTTATATTTTTAAAATTTTTCTTTCTTTATTCTAAATTATATTTTCCTTTTACAAACCTGAAATCCACATAACCTCTGATTCACAGCTGTGTGGATTTCTGATTTTCTATTACACAAACTATTGATTATTGATGCAAACATAGACAGACACCTGTGGGAAAATTTCAAAATAATATTAAAAAAAAATAAATCCAATTAAATATTTAAACTAAAACAGTTTATGTACATATAATGGTAGTGGAACTACTTTTGTTGACTGGATTTTATGTTAACGCTACTGAAATACAAATCAGTTACAAAATATCTATGCTGAAAAGCTCTTACTTCTCTTAATTCTTCTGTTTAATTTTGCATTATAATCCTTTAAAAAAATTCTAAAAATATGAAAAATATTCAAATATATTTCTTACCTCAATAAAATATTCACTCCAACTGCACTCATAACAAAGTTGTACATATAGCTTGCAGTCAAATGTTGGGAATATAGACGCTATTGTCTCATAAAATCTATCAGCCTCTTCACATGATATACCATGAGACCTAATACATAACATTAAAATTTTGAATAGAATTATATTTAGATCAAAAGTTTGTTGATTAAAAAATTTTCTCACAATATTCTTTTAATAAAAACAGTATATCCCAAAACACGAAAGACAGACAACAAATAAATTCAATAAAATACTATGTTGACAACAAAATATTGCAATAAATGGAAAAAGTTATTGTACAAGATTTTATTCTGGAAGCTTTGCTCTGTATTTAAATCAATACTATCCTATATGTAATTTATTATATATGTAAAATAGATCTAACATTCCACAGAGTATTTAAAACAACAATTATCTAGAAGTTACATTTGTGTGGTATGTTCTTCATTTTGAATTTATTCCTAAAAAAGCATAAGTTTAACTATATGAAATATAAAGATTCTCATACACAGCCCATCAAATTTTTCTGTGCTTTGAAAAACATACTATGGCTTTTGATTTTGTGGAGTTATGATTGATCAGGTCAATTCCTTACTTTTTATGATTGATCAGGTCAATTCCTTACTTTTTTATGATTGATCAGGTCAATTCCTTACTTTTATATGGAATAACTTTTTTTAATTTATACAGAATGTTTATGCTATCTAAAAGAATTTTGAATAACATTTAAGATGCAATCATTACAGAAAGTACTAATGCCCAAAAGAGATTTTCAAGTGGATGCAACTAGCAGCATTGACTCCCTCAGCTTTTTTTTAAAACATGTTTTGCAAGTTTATCATAAAAAATTACCACTTGTTCCTCATAAACAAGATACCAGTAGATAAATAATCATTTTACTTTACATTATGTAAATGAAATAATGAATTCCCATAAAAAACTACATAAATAAAGAATTTAATTTTTAAACTTAAAAAGATAGTTCAGAGATTTTCTGATGACATTACTCTTAATTAAAGTCATGAAAAACTCTAAATTTGCTTTTATTCTATTAAGTATATAGCTTTTGTGATCAACTCTTATTTAGGCGCTTATATAAAAGATAATTTAGTACTTATTTAGGCACTTTCATATTAAGCACAACCACCTTCGTACAGTTTGGAAATTTTTTACAGAATAAAGGGAACAATGACTAATTTTAAAAAATTAAGTCCGTATTACACACATATATTATATTTTAAACTTTTAACATATGAATAAAATTCAAAGCTGATGTGCTTAAAAACTGTAAGAACAAAACTTTGCACTGTAATGGTGATGGTGACAAATAACCTGAAAAGTTGTAATGTGTCAAATACAAGTCAGATATATTTTACTTCCATTAAAGCTAAAGCAGACTTATAAAATCAAATGAAATTACAGAAATGAATACTGAGATGAACAAGTACATGAAAATGAAATAATGAAATTAAGTATAAAACAGGTAAAATTACAAAATAGGAAATACATTAAGATACATAGTATCAAAATACCAAGAAACTACTTTTAAACAAAATCAAATAACGTAACAAAGACCAGTCTCTTTAGTTACTGAAATAAACTGGTATCGACCTCTTTCTAATTATGCGATCAAGTGGCAAATCACAGCCATTAAAGTACTTTAAATGAAGTCTGCTAAAAGACTATTAAAAGTGATGCACTGATAGAACAGCATTACAAATGGAATAAACAAGTTTATACTCAGCTTTTAGGGTGGGTGATTTAAGAGTGACCTTCTATGGCATGTTAACAGGACTTCCTTCTTCTGGTTCCTAGTAGCTTCCAAATTTTCCATTCAAGGTTTCACACTTCTTAACTTATTATTATCAAGCTGAACAATCCAGAATTCCTCCCATTTATTCAAGGTTTTTGTTTAATGGCCTTGCTGATATCTCTAAAGGGATGAGCTGATGGGAAAAGTGAACAACAGATTTTGCTGTGGTATCTACCAGTTCATTTTTTCTTAAATTTGCATGTCCAAGAACTCAGCAGAAAAGGATGTCACACCGACAGTTCCTTAATTTCAGATTTGGACTTAAGATATCAACTATGAGAAGATTCTAGGCATTAGAAATTTATTCTAAAGCTTTCAATGCACTAATGAGCCATACATATTACAAATCTTCTCAAGCAAGCATGGCTATGAATAATATTCTCATATGCCATAAGAGAATAAAAGTGCATAATATACAGCAATTAACTCCAAGGCGAGAACTGAGGAACTGTCATGTAGTTATCTACCCTTCATCATCATCTGCACTTTTCTGCAAATGCTGTTACAATATATCCAAGTTCTTTCAACCCATCTGTTAAATACAGGAGTGTAACTAAAGTATTTACGTCTGTGCTCAAGAGAAAACAGCTTACAAATAGAAACTTGTTAGTATCACTTTTGGTACAATGTTGGTAAATGTCAAAAAAACAAATCTGAACATTCTCTGAAGGTGATATTCGAAAATGCTTTATAGTCTGAGTGCTAAAATCCACGCTCTGATATTCTTCAGTTAGTGAGCTTTGTACTGTAAAAAATCATATATGTACCATAAGGTCACTTTATCACACACATAATTTTTCTTGAGAACTCTGATACTGATTAACCCCATTTTAGCAATTTTTGAAAGCTAGCTGATATTCATCTAGGTGTTGGCTACGTATTTCGCTAACCTAGTGATACATGGCATCAGCATACAGTATGCAATAATCATTTTTTTATCATTTACAGAGAACAGGGTCTTCGTGATTACAGAATGTGGGGTGTGGCATGTCTTTTGTGAATAATCAGGTCGTTTTCAATAGAACAGTAAGTAATTATTGTTGAGGTTTACATCAGAAGCAAGTCATATTAATCGATTTCCAGATGCACTAGCGCTAAGCATCTCAACAGTCCCTTTTGAGAGACCAGGAATGTTGCTGATAAGAATAGGCATGCTTCAGCACTGACAGACAGGAAAATGGAAGAGGAAATTGTACTGTCTCCAAGAGCAAGTTTCAGTAAATTATGACCAAAAACAGGAATACTGTAAAAGATACACAAAAGGACACAAAGAATATAGGTCTACATGCATACCAAATACATTGCATACAGGAACTAAAACTCCCAGACATTGTTAAAAGAATAAGGTACAGCCAATGGTTTGTTAAACAAGTAAAAAGTAATGAGCTCTGCATATTGGAAGTTGTTTTTTTGTGATGAAGTGTATTTTTACTAAGTGGTTACATCAACATTCAGAACAACAGATACTGATTAACACAAAATCCACATCTTGCATGAACCATCAATGCACACACAGAAAGTAGGGGGTTTGGAGTGTGTTTTCTTAATGATGAATAGTAAGCTCAATTTTATTTTTTATATAAAATCCTTGACAGTCTGCCATACGAGAATATAATTATGCAACTTATAGCTTTTTTCTTGTCTGATAAATGCTAATGTTATCTGCAATAAGAAGGGGAAACATGGCATACACATAAAAAAAAAAAAAAAAAAAAAAAAAAGAGAGAGAGAGAGAGAGAAAAGACAGAATTTTTAAAATAAATGTTTGGTGATTACCTGATCTCAAAGGTCTGTGGTCTGCTGGTTTCCCTAACTTATCATCACCAGACTTTTTTCCCTGGGTTTTTTTGAAAGGACAGGTACACTGAGCAAACCGATACACTCTGTAAGACCTGGATGCCTATTCTATGCTCCGAGAGTTGGCAGCAGTTTGTGAGCCACCAGATGTCACTGCTAGTGAAAAACAGGTCTGCCCAACAACCCATATTCTCTGAGTACGGAACTAATCGGAAGCGCGGAGAAAAGTGTTGCCCCATCATCAATCAGGCTTGTCCAGTTGACGTTCTAAGTAGACAATGGCTTTGTATGTGTTTTAGCCCCAAAGTTTTTTGTATTTAAAAGAAGAATACGATCGTAGATCTCTGAATCGGCGGTGAATTTACAAAAAATATGTTGATGCTTTTGCTCTGCCAGAAAATGTTTTCAATTTATATTTCAGATTGCCAAAATTTATAGTTATTTTAATTTGCGATGAGCTGAGAGAATATTTGGAGCCACATTCAGAAAACAAGAATGCCATTTCTACTGAAAGAAAGGTTATTTATACTTCTCCATAAATTATAGTTATATATTGTAATTATATAGTTTAAAAATGTAGAATATAATAAGTATTTATCTAGCACATAATCCTTCTTCAGTTAATAAAAATAATATAGATATCCAAGGCACGTCTACTCAATCTATGTATGGCAAGAATTATGTTTATTTTAAAATATAACAGTTGAATACCTTACGAACAATATTGTGAACACAATAAGGAATATCATTCATTATTATGCGAAATTCACACTACTGTAAAATAAAAATAAATAATAACAATAATAATAAAACTATAAAATAGTTTTATAATATCTTTTCAGTAGTCGTACTACTAGTGTGATACTTTTAAAAATAATTTTTAGCCCAAAGGGACTTAGCTCAGAAGGGCTATTAATTTCGTTTTGCCATTTTGCGGCGTTTCACTTTTCAAATTGTTGCCACTAAATATTATTGCACAGTATTATATTTAAAGAAATTAAATAATGAAGAATCTGCATAAATGTATGAATGTTTCTCGCACTGTAATAAAACAACAGTGCTCAGAGCCATCAAATTCTGAATAACGTAATCCTCTACCCTAATATAGGCATCTGGAGGCCCAAATTTGGAACTGGGAATTTGTTTTATTATTTATTTCATATTTTATAAAGCATTTATGAGTGTTTGATTAAGAAACTCAATGATTTCAAAACGAGCAATGGCAACACTGTACCGGGGGGGGAGGAAGAGGGAAAAAATATTTTCATGTCTAGCGCACGAGACAGCATATCAGAAATTCCATAGATATGCTCTTTTTAAATTATGTGATATTGCTGTTGAAATGAATTTTATGGTTTAAGTGCAAAGAACATGATATTTAATAAATAAAGGTAACACACAAAAGATTAAAAAAATTGTCCTTTAGCCGTAATATAAAATCTGGAGGCTTTTAAACTTTTTTTTTTTTTCTGTCTGTGTGTATTTTTATTATGATTTAA